TATATTCCGTCCTTTCTCAACCTCCACAGAGGGACTCAGGATGGCTAACAAAGTGGCACCCCATGGAGCCCAAATCAAAACATAAATATACAATTAATAATAATATAATAATAATAATAACACTTTTTTTGTACCCCGCTACCATCTCCCCAAGGGACTCGGTGCGGCTTACATGAGGCCAAGCCCAAATACAACAATACAAGCAATAAAACAACAATACAAATAATTAAAATAAAAACGTAGAGGACAAAGAGTTATGGGATCATTATTCCGGGAAGGCACATTGGAACAGCCACGTCTTCAAGCTCCTCCTGAAGACTGCCAGAGTTGGGGCCTGACTGATGTCTTTAGGGAGTGAGCTCCAGAGTCGAGGGGCCACCACCGAAAAAGCCCTCTCTCTCGTCCCCACCAATTGCGCCTCCGGATGATCGAAGGGATTGTGTGGGTTCGTATATGGAGATGCGGTCACGCAGGTAGGCAGGTCCCAAACCATTCAGGACTTTGTAGGTAAGAACTTGCACCTTGAATTGGGTCCGGTAAATGAATGGCAGCCAGTGGAGCTCCTTGAATAGGAGGGATGACCGCTCCCTGTAAGGAGCCCCAGTTAACAACTTGGCTGCCGCCCGTTGGATCATCTGGAATTTCAGGGCCGTTTTCAAGGGCAGCCCCACATAGAGTGCATTGCAGTAATCCAAGGCGTGGACCACTTTGGCCAGATCCGCCTTCCCGAGGTACGGTCGCAGTTGGTGCACGAGTCTTAGTTGTGCAAAGGCCCTCCCGGCCACCACCGACGCCTGAGCCTCAAACATAAGTGAAGAATCCAGGAGGACTCCCAAACTGGGGACCTGTGACTTCAGGGGGAGTGCAACCCCGTCCAGCACAGGTTGCCACCCTATACCCCGGTCTGGTTTACGATCGACCAGGAGGACCTCTGTCTTGTCGGGATTAATCTTCAGCTTGTTCGTCCTCATCCAGACAGCCACAACGGTCAGGCACTCATCTAGCACTCGAGGAGCTTCCTTGGAATTCGGTGGAAAAGAGTAGTAGAGTTGTGTATCATCTGCATAGAGATTAATAATAGCAATGTAATAATAACAACAATATAAAACAGTATAAAACCGTATAAACAATATAAAAACAATATAAAAACAATATAAAAACAGACAACAAATAGTCAGCGGTCACCAATTTAAACCATTATCCAAGGGCAGTCCATCAGTTCTAAATAGGTCAACCCGTCAGTAGGTCAGCCTATTCTCCAAAGGCCTGATCCCATAGCCAGGATTTTACTTGTTTCCAGAAGGTCAAGAGGCTGGGAGGAGATCTAATTTCACTCGGGAGGAAGTTCCATAGCCGGGGGGCCACCACAGAAAAAGCTCTGTCCTTTGTCCCCGCCAGACGTGATTGTGACAATGGGGGGACAATTAGCAGGGTCTCCTCAGATTATCTTAGGGCCCTAGGTGGATCATAGTGGGAGATACATTTGGACAAGTAAACTAGGCCAGAACCGTTAGAATAAAATAAAGAAAATGCAAAAAAAAAAAGAAAAGAAAAAAAAGTAAAATAATAAATGTAATAATAGGGTAACATACTGTAAATGTAATAATAATAATAATAATAGATTAAAATAATAAATGTAATAATAGGGTAAAATACTGTAAATGTAATAATAACAAAGCAAAATAATAAATAGAATAATAATAGAGAAAAATAATGTAAATATAATAATAATAGAGTAAAATAATAAATGTAATAAAATAATACTAATAACAGAGTAAAAAAATAAATAACCTTGACTCGAGTATAAGTCGAGGGGAGCTTTTTCAACCTAAAAAAGGGGCTGAAAAACTAGGCTTATACTCGAGTATATACAGTAATAATAAATCTCAACCCCCACATAACTAGAAATTACTGCGTTAAGCCAGTTACTGCAATGCTCTCACTCTGTGCCTCACCTTCAGATGTAACTGTGAACAATTATCCATTCTTCCCTCAGGTGTCCCTCTGAAACCAGACGATGGTACTGACTTCAATTTTGAATTTGTGGAACAATAGTGCATCCATCCTGATTTTCTGTCTCCTTTGGAAGAGACGATGCAGGATATGAATGCTATTGTTACTACGACTACTACGAATATTAGTCTTAATCGCAATGTCCTGCATGGTTTTCATTCTAAACACAGTAGATATGATTGCTAATAAACCCACCTGTTCTAAAGCATTCATGGATTTTTCATCTTGATCATTCTTATGCCCAAACCGTTTCCCCCCCCCCCCCCCCGCTATATCTGATGAACAAAAGAATCTTCACCACAATTCCTATTGTTTAGAGAAATATATTATCCTTACTTAGGCGATCCCTCGTTGTCCAAGGATGATGGTCCTCCAAAATCGGTGTCCTGGTAGTGGGTCCATAGGTATCTGTGGAGCCCTATTCTTGCTCTACATCTTCTCCCGTAGTGAGGGCATTGGTTTCCACGTGGAAGGCGGTCCCGGTCGGGGATGGCTTGACACGCCTTCCTCTTGGCACGTTCCTCTCTTTCACCCTCCATTCGTGCCTCTTCAAATTCTACAGCCTCCTGGTCACAGCTAACCTCCAACTGGAGTGCTCAAGGGCCAGGGCTTCCCAGTTCTCAGTGTCTATGCCAGAGTTTTTAAGGTTGG